CTTAATCAACATTGTCGTCTTTCGATAGCATGATAAATTAACACATAAATAGATTTTGTTTTTCTTATAAAAAAAATAAGAATATCGCTTATTAATTAGAAACAAATTACCAAATTAGTGGGTGAGTGAAAGTTGGTCTTGGAGGGTGTGGTTACTTGATCATGCATGTTGAAAATATAATGGATAATCTATTGATTTATATTTAAATCCTAACACTACTCAGTCATTGCGGTCATTAATATTATATTTAAATCCTAACACTACTCGGTCATTAATATTATATTTAAATCCTAACACTACTCAGTCATTGTGATCATTAAGATTCATCTGCAGTGATTTCAAAACATGAGTTGTAAATTTAGAAGTGTAGGATTTGCTTTAAACTCAAGCAAAACAAGAACAAGGAAGACAAAATAACAAAGAACCTATGGATAGTTGCTTGATGCCAAAGACTTTCCTTATTTAATCAAAACAAGTTTTGCATCCAAATAAAGATGCAACGAAAACCTATATTTATCCTAGACACATAATGAGTTGGACTCTAATAGGAAAACTAGGAATAAACTTGAACAAAAGGAAACTTTCATATTTTACCGCTAGAACTAAAAATTGTCGATTGGTGATAAACCGATTAACGCAACAATCACCCTCTTAATCGGTCCAACCGTCCATTCACAACAACCTTTAATAACCTTCTTTTCGAACCATCTTGAGTCCCGACCTTTCCCGGACACCCCACCTTCACTCGGTCACGTCCAAAGTCTTTTCTCAATCTCTTTGATTGTTGACAACACATGTGACATATACATGGCATCCCGTTGGACATGTTCATTACCATCTTGATTTTTTCAAGATCCCGACCTCTCCCCGGCCAAATCCAACGCCACCCAATTTGAACTCCAACGTCATAATCTTCACACAGTGTAGTTTCTCAAATATCTTCCTTTGTTTCGATTACCGTTCTTCAAAGAGGCAACTCCACCGACAAAGAAAACAAAGCCACCCGCTTCACCGTTTTCTTTCAATCTGCCAAACGAACGAACTGAATCCAAAACTACCTGCTTTGACGAATCCTTCTTGCCCGCTTTTCACGCACCTACGTCGGTATCCCTTATCACGAACAAACCGATCAATAACTGCGAAATCTAAATAGCAACACTCATTGATGAAAACATCTCGAAACAAACTATTCTTTTATCGTAACTAACATCCACGGACTGCCTATGTTCATCACGGGTCACTCCTGTCGTTTCGAACGGTGCTCCTCGTTTCCACACGACAACGGTCGACCCGAAAACACTTTACCGTCTCCGTCTTCTGCTATAAAATAGTCTCTGCTGTCCGAATCTTCTTGTGCGATCAAAGCTTTGGTTTTTTTTTGCTCCCCGTAGAAATAAACGCTGCCAAAAACTGCGCTTCCGCTACGATGGCAACCCCGCACCCGAAGGCTCCTCCCCTTCAAAAGTCGACTCTCAAATGTAAGTTTAGAAGTGTAGGATATGCTTTAAACTCAAGCAAAACAAGAACAAGGAAGACAGAATAACAAAGAACCAATGGATAGTTGATGCCAAAGACTTTTCTTATTTAATTAAAACAAGTTTTGCATCCAAATAAAGATGCAACGAAAACCTATATTTATCCTAGACACATAATGAGTTGGACTTTAATAGAAAAACTAGGAATAAACTTAAACAAAAGGAAACTTTCATATTTTACCCCTAGAACTAAAAATTGTCGATTGGTGATAAACCGATTAACCCAATATGAGTCATGTTTGTAACGAGGATTAGTGGGTACGCAAAAAATTTACAAAAATGGTCAGAAAGCCTAAAATTCCCTTAAAAAATATTATATAACTTGAAACCATGAAAATGTATGACACGTATATGAAAACATGTCTATTCAAATAATTATAACTTTTGATAAGAAAAGACATGAATAGCAACCAAAGCTCTGAACAATAGGCTAAATAGATGTGCAAGACCAAATACCAAGCTTAAAATCAATCACACTAAAAGTCTAAAACCATAAGTTCAAAATTTCATGATTTTATAGTTTTTTAAAGAGTAAGGATTTCTATCGGTCAAATTTTTGTTTCAAACTTTAAGTTTAGGTATTTGAGACTTAAGTTTTATTTTTAAATTATGAACACCAGAACTATAAAAAAAATGTTTACTTGAATGATCGTAATGTAAACTAAAAAATTATTTTGAAATAATAATAATTTCTTAAAAATATGGTGTATACTTTATTTTATGTTGCTGCTTATATTGTTGATATACATCGAAAAATAAATTTGATAATAGATTGTTGACAAAATTTCATAATTGGTCTTCATGGTTTACAAAATATCTCAATTTCATCTGATAGATGTTGACTGAGTTAATCCTAACTGAGTTAGAATTTGTGACTGAGTACACAACTAACTTAGACTATGCTTTTGATTATATCTTTGACTGATGAATGATGGAAAATAATCATATGATCCTTATATTATCTCTTGTGTTGGATAAAATAATTATAAAAAATACAATCTGTCACACAAAATCTAAATTAAACATACATCATTTAAACAAAATATAAATTGTCATACAAAAAAAAAACTAATAAATGCAAAACATAACAATGTAGTATCCTTTATTACGAAATATTAAAAAAAAAACATTATTACCTTAAATGGTTGAATGCATAACATTAATAGTCAAGATGCTTCATGAACATTGCTTCTCATCGTTTACACACCAATTTGGCATTTTATTCTCTCTAACACGACCTAATACAATTACATTAAACATGGAAACAACCCACATATCATATCAGTATATACAATAATGTGATAAGTGTTTTGATTTGTTTATTCTATTAAATCATCTCATTCTTCATATCTCATGATGAACTTATCATTATCATCATCATCATCATCATCATCATCATCATCATCATCATCATGTCTTTCTCGAACTTGTGAACAAATTGTTATGGATGGTAAGCTTCCTGCATTCATGGTTACTAATAAATAACACCATTTTAATACCAATAAATTTGATTTCATACCAACACCATCTTCAAGGTTATAATCTGATAAATCATATAACTTAAATTCTGATTTCAAAAACCAACATATAGAGCGTAAACACCAATTTCATACTAATAAATTCCGGTTTCATACGAATATTTCATAAATTCAAATTTCATACCAACAAATTTGATTTCATACCAACATCATACAAGCCAAATTCTGATTTTATATATAGATCATACAAACAAGATTTCTTATGTCAAATTTCCATACATCATAAAAAGAAATTATAGCTTAATCCGTATTTTCATAGATAAATCATACCAACTAGAGTAATAAGATAGAAGATATCTGATTTCTTCCATAAAAACATATACACAACTTTGTGTTGAAGAATGAAGGAGAATAGTCATTAAAAAAAAAAAGACGAAATAAATAGTTGTAACAAAATCGACGTTGGAGATGGTGGAGGCCGACGACTTTTCTTAAGGAAGCGACGACGACTAACACACCAGAGAGGGGTGCGGCTTCATATAGCTTTGTATTGACGAAGGATGAGAGAACGACTGTAGATGGAAGAGGCGTTCTTCTTGTTTCAGGGCACATACGTCTTTTTTTGGTCGTCCACCTGGTATGACCGCATAGCAGAAATCAATTGAATGGTATGACCGCATAACGGATGAAGGAGATGGCAAAGGAAGGAAGTTGCAGGATAGGAAGGGTAAATGGAGGAAGAGAACAATATGTCATTCATGATGGGGTCCTTCAAAGCTTCAAGGCAAAGTGGGGTAAATTCCCATTCAGTCTCTTTTTTTGGAAGGACTGAATCAGACGATTTTACATGACCGAATTAGAACATTGGACTGGGTCAAAGGTTTTTAGCCCTTTGTCAAACAAGTTGACTAGATAGAGTCAGCCAAAACCGCTTACCGGACCAGTCAGCTATATATCAAACATGCCCTCACTTTGAGGACTTCCTAGGAAAAAGTCATGCTACTGGTCCTTATGGTTTCAGTTCATTGCGTGATTGGTCCTTGACCTTAACCCCATTACTTTTATACCATTAGTGTATGGGTATTTTTGTCTTTTCATTTAGCCATCATTGTAATCCTTCATTATGCTTAATATACGTAAGATCTTTGCAATTAATTGCAAATATCATCTTCCAGCTACCCATAAACCTATCGCATTCATCGTCATCTCTCCATCGCAAGGATCATCTTCCAATTTGATTGAAGATGATAATGGTGTTAACATTATGGTCGGTTCGTTCCAGACACACACAAACGTCAAACTATGATTTGGAAAAGTTATATCGTAAGTGACTACTTCACACTTCAAATCCATCACAGTGGGATATTCACAAAAATCCACAGGAGAAGGTACGTAGATGGAATAATAGACTATGTTGACTTCATAGATATTGACGTTTTCTCTGTGCATTAGCTGGATACAATGGTTCAAGAAATAGGGTACGTCGAAAGGAAAACTTTGTATTATCATTTTCTTATTCTAGAAGTAGAGTTGGACTTTGGTCTCTTACCTCTAGGAAACGATGGGGATGTGCATGTGTAGTCAACTTATGTGGAAAAAAATAACCAAGTATTTACATAGAGCATGGACATACAAAAGCTAAAAGATTTTTTTACCCCATCAAAGGTTATTATTGAGGAGTTGGTTAATGATGTGTCCCTGAACTAGATATGAACCAAAAGAAGGGAAAAGATGTTGAATCTTCAAGGAAAAAACTAGACTACTCCGAGTTCATTGTGCCATATGGAAAATTTTGTGAACCTTCCTAAGTCATACAGGGTAATGAGCCAGTCATGAATGATGAGCCAATCAAAGATAATGAACTAGTTATATATGATGAAGATATAATGACTACTACACACAATAATGAGGATACTGAATATAATAGTGAGGATAGTGAATATAAAAGTGAGGAAAGTGAATTTGAGAGTGAGCATGATGCAAAAAAATGTTTGATAAAGAACCTTTGATAGATGATGTGGAGGTGAACATAATCAACTTTTGTAGTGTAGTTGATGGAGACATTGACTTGGGACAACCTGACCAGACATACAATAACAAAGAGGAACATGTAGACATTGAGGATGAACCTTTAGACGTCTTAGATAATGATGTGTCTGGACCATTTGCTATTAATCAAGAGCCTTTAAAGAAATTATTCAAATCCATTGTAAAACCAGTTGCTTGTTCATTTGGTGAGGTTCACATAAAAGCTTTTAAGATTGGTCAGACTTTCAAAGAAAAGGAAAAGATCAGATAAGTTATTGCCAACCATTCTATAAAAGAAAGGATGGATCTGCATTATGTAAAGAACAACAAGACAAGAGTTAGAGTAAATTGTAAGGGTGTTGTCCAAGGAAACAATTGTTCCATGCGTTCTTTTTTTCTCTATGTCAGATGAAAAACAAGTTTGGACTGTTAAACCATATGAAGATTGTAATTCTTGTTTGCAAACAAGGACAATGAGGGGTTGTTCATCTAAGTTTCTAGTTAACAACATACTACATCAAGTTGAAAGTAACCCCAAAATCCCTACACGTGGTTTAGAAGAGGACTTGGTACAAAGGTATTCACTTTCAATATCAAATATGAAAGTATTTCGGGCTAAAGCTATGGCAAAAAAATTGTTATGTTGATTATGAAAAGAAATATGGTATTTTGAGAGACTATGCCTTGGAATTGCAGTCAAAGAATCCAGGAACAACTATGAAGATAGATTTCGAACCAAAACCCAACTCGTGTTCTTCAATAAGGATATTCAAAAGAATATATATATATATATATATATATATATATATATATATATATATATATATGCTTAGGTCCATTAAATGAGGGATTTAAAAAAGGTTTGAGAATTTTTTCTTGGATTTGATGGTATGTTTTTGAAGGGTCTCTTTCCTGGATGGATCCTCAGTGTAGTTGGGATTGACTTGAACAATGGCATTTACCCAGTTGCATATGCTATTATTGAAGCTGTAAATATTAACTCTTAGACATGGTTTTTGGAACACTTAGGTGATGACTTGGATTTGAATTCTTCATCAAACTTCACCTTAATTTCAGATCGGCAAATATTACCCTTCAAATTCAACAAACTTCACTTTATTATTTTCATTTACTAACTTATGTTAATTGTACTCGCAGGGAACTTTGGATGCAATAGAGAAGTATTATCCATTAGTTGAGGAAAGGTTCTGTTTAATACATGTGTTTGACAACATGAAATTGTAACACAAGGGAGATGAATTGAGGGAAGTAGTATGGTATTGTAGAAAAGCATATAGCGTACCAAATTTTGAAGGGCTATGGAGAAATTGAAAAAGCTTAACCCACAAGCGCATGAGTGGTTAACTGAAATTCCTACAAAACACTAGGAAAGGTTCCATTTCTCTAGTAAGTATGATACACTTTTCATTAACATATTTCATAACAGATTTCATTAATTCATTTTTTGGTTTTATACATAGGAAGGACAATCATTAATAGTTTGACAAATAACTTATGTAATGTATTTGAATCCAAGTTAGATGAGGCCAAAGACAAGCTTGTAATCACTTGTTTGGAATTTATTAGAGAATACCTCACAAAGAGAATAGTAAATGTTCATAAAGTACAAGACAAATGCAAATGTTATCTAAGTACAACTACAACAATAATCTTAGACAACAATAAGACATAGGCAAATCAGATGAAGGTTCTATTCACTGGATCTGATAAATATTGATTAACTGGTCTATGGATGGAGTAGTATGTTATGAACTTGAAGGAAATGAGCTTTACTTGTAGAAAATAAGACATTACAGTTATTCCATGCCAACATGTCATAACTGTAATGTATGCTAATATGCAGAATGGCTCAAAATGTGGAGATCTTGAGGCTTGGGTGAACAAATGTTACTCACTTAGTACATGGAATGCTATGTACTAACACACAATTGACCTAATAAATAAAAGGAGCATGTGGCCTAGATCTAATTATCCAACAACCTTTCACCCACCCAAACATCACAAACAAGTTTATTGATATACATGTTTTGTATAATTCAATTTGAAAATATTCACTAAACTTGTTGATATGCATCCTTATAAATTTCTTTATAGGTTAGCAGGCCAAAGAAAAAAAAAGGAAGAGGGCAGCTGATAATCCAAGTCAAAGTACCAATTTAAGTAGGAAATACTTGATAATAACTTATAGCAAATGCCACAACAAAGGTCACAATGCTAGGACTTGCAAGGGGCAGGGAGGTCCTATTGAAGTTGGAAAGAGGAGTGGAAAGAAGAAATGGAAAGTACCTACAGTTTAGTTTGTTGCTTTAAATACGCTTTTGTTATTATGTCTAAGTATTTAACAAGTTTACTATGTTTGGTTATGGTGTGTTTGTAGAAACAATTTCTTTTGATATGTGTTGTGGGTATTGTATGTTTGTAAACATGATATTGCACTTACATGCATTATGGTTAATTATATTTTGATCTACTATGCTTGAGCTAGTACACTTTCAATTTTGGTAATGCCACTTTGGTAACTTGTTTTTTGGTTATGTTAATGAACATTAACAATCAACTTTACACTTACATGCAATCAAATTGACAATTTTCTTCCTTCTAATACAAGTTCATATAAAACTAAACATTAAACTTACATTACATATAATAACCATTACATATTCTTGTCCCAACATTACATAAAATCACAGGGAAAATGTAACATCCCAAAATTTCAAGACCAAAAATTTTGTTTTTAATTATGTTACTTATAAAATAGTTTAAAGGAAAACATCATCGATATCCTGTAAATCCATAAAACCATAATCACATGTCTCAAAAATCATATCATCAATAGTAATAATGTCAGAGTACAATCCCACGGATCTCAAAATGTGGAAATCAGGTGTGTGCGATGCGCTGCTACCGTGCCAGCTCATTCCCCTTCGATGAAGAGGTACCTAAAACCAAAACAGAAAACTATAAGCACAAAGCTTAGTGATTCTCCCATCATACCACATACCATACAATAACATATCGAGCCAGTCATATCTAGGTGCAAGCGTCCCCTTCGGTCTATTTCAACCGGATAACTGCCTAGCATATATGGGTGCTGGCCTCCCCTTCAGTCTATTTCAACCGGATAACTGCCTAGCATATCTAGGTGTTGGCCTCCCCTTCGGTCAAACTTTGAGGAGTTTGTGTATTGAGGTAAGGATTTGATCTCATATTGATATTAGGTGACATGTTCTACCTATTTCATTTTCAGAGACTGTTGTTGAGTTTTTGTTGCTAGACTAATGTGAGTTTTCTCACTATATTGTGTGTGACATGATGTGTATAGTGTGGTAGCTTGGATATGTATTTTTAGGGTACAACATTGTGATTAGGTTGGTTATTCTATTTACTTGGTTTGTATTGATCTGAAAGGAGTTAGTTGTAAGCTTTCAGGCCTACTAGGATGATAGAGGGAAGTCTAACAAGTCTTTAGGATGAAAACTGTGTGTACATACGCACACTGAGGTGTTGACTATGAGTTGGTTGTATGTCTAATATGTCTTTGGGATGAGGGCTATGAGCTTATAGTCTCACTTAAGTGTTGACTATAAGTCTTGTATGTATGCATTATGTATTTAATGCGAGATATGGTATATTGGTGAACACACTAAGCTTTGTGCTTACAATTAATTTTATGTTCATGTTGTTCCTCTATTCAAAGAAAGGTCTCAGTTTAACTATAATGCACACGCATCGCTTTTGATTTGTTATAGACTTCCGTTGATTTTATGTTATTACCATGTTTTGGAAAACTATGTTTTTACAATGTTGAACAAATGAATTTTTATATTACACTTGGGGAACAAAGTTGGGTGTTATACTATATTCTGAAAATGAAAAAATAATTGGTTTGAAATTCCGAATGTTAAAATTCTGAACCCAAATACCAACAATTATATCCATTTAGTAGTCCCTATTTTTAAATAGATCTTGAAATGTGATATCCACCACATCTTAGAATAACGTCTCAACTACTATCAATGATTTTGAAGGAACGGATCGGTCTTTAGCTTACATTGAACTAGGTTAATTTTACATTTAAAATGTCAACATTTTGTAGTTAAAAAAAAAAACCATTATCCAAAATGAAAACCTGATCCGTGGTAAATTTCAAATCTACAGTTTAAGAACTTACAAGAACGGTTCTTAGTGAAGTCTATTATGTTATCTTATTAATTTTTTAGAGCGTGACATCTTTCGTCTACAAATTAAAACTTAATTCATTTTTGAATTCATAATCCCAATGTATTTACATCTCTTTACCAAAAGCTAAAAAACACGATCAAACACACAAAAACAACACTTTTCATCAGTGGCAATGTAAAAAAAAAAACCTTGGAGTTAAAAATTAAAGATCAAAATCATTAATACAAATGTCTACATTTTTTTATTTTACTTTTAAAATTAGTTAGCTCATCCTAGTTTTAACATCATAATTACGAAAGTATTTGTGATAATAATTTTGGCACATGTAAAGTCTTGTAACTTTACCGGAACATATGGATGTTGTAGCCTAACGTGAGTAACGACAACACACTGTGGCACTGTGCCAAGTGATTGCAGTTATTGCCCTGCCCTTTTAACGATCAACCATCGAGATAAGGATAAAACACCGTATCATTCTCCCCTCTTCTCACGCCAACTTCCTTCACTCCTTCTTCTATAAATACCCTCCCTCCAAAAAACCCCATCTCCATTAATACCAATCTTTTATCTTTTCTCAAAATGACCACCACACCGAATTGGGTTCGAGGCCTTTGCATCGGTCGAGGCTCTTTCGGAACTGTCAGTCTCGCCGTCGATAAATCCGATGGTGGGGTCTTCGCGGTTAAGTCCGTGAAACAAACCTCCGAACGATTCTCTCAAGCTTTGGAGAATGAGATTCGGATTCTGAGATCGTTGACGTCTCCTTATGTTGTTGGGTATCGCGGCGATGATTTCACGTCGGAGAAGGAGAATTCTCCGGTGGTGTACCGGAACTTACACATCGAGTATATGCCAGGTGGGACCGTTGCTGAGTTGGCAAAACACGGTGAGGATGTCACTGTTCGGAGTTATACGCGGTGTATTGTGTCGGCGTTGAAGTACATTCATGAGAGAAATATTGTTCATTGCGATGTGAAAGGGAAGAATGTGTTGGTCGGGGTGATTCCCGGGGAGGCGAAGCTGGCGGATTTTGGTTCGGCGGTGGAATTGGGTGGTGTTCCGGTTTCTGGAACACGTGGTAGTCCGTTGTGGATGGCGCCGGAGGTCGTTCGTGGGGAGTGTCAAGGACCGGAGTCTGATGTTTGGTCATTGGGGTGTACAGTGATCGAAATGGTCACCGGAAAACCAGCGTGGGAAGACAGAGGAGTTGACACTCTGTTTCAAATTGGGTACTCCGACGAGTTACCACATTTGCCAGGTCACTTTTCCGACGAGCTACATGATTTTTTAAACAAGTGTCTCAGAAGAGACCCGTCGGAAAGATGGAGCTGCGATCAGTTGCTACAACACCCATTTTTGCTATCCTGCTCTTCTTCTTCTTCTTCTTCTTCATCTGAATTCATGGACAGAAAATGGTCACCGAGATGCGTGTTCGATTGGTCGGACTCAAATTTCTCCGACGGAGAAACGTCGGAGATTGAAAATACAGCTACGAATTTGAATTCTTCAAACGGGGTACGAAGGATAGCTACATTGGCTTCCAATTCATCGGCAAACTGGGAATCCGACGGCTGGGAGGTGGTGAGGAATGCGAATGCGGCAGTCTCCACCACGGAGTTTTCGGAAGAAGATGAAAGTTTGACGATTACAGTAGCGGAGACGGCTGAAACTTGGCCGGAATATTCCTTTTCGGCTGCGAATAACGAGGACGAAACAATACGCGAATATAGAGATTCTTCTAATGGGAGTTTTCAGTTTCACAATGATCATCAGTGTACCAGAAACTATGCACAAGGTACAAGTGGTGGTTGCAGAAGTAAAGACACGGATAATAATTACAGTTGTTGTATGTATGTTTCATTAAAGAAATTATTATTGTTTAATTCGAATGCTGTCCGACACATTTATTATAAACAACTGTTTCTGTTTAATTTTAAACTACTTTGTGATCTTTTTTCAGTCTGTTGTTTTCTTATTAATTACCCAACAACAAATATTCTGTTAAATAAAGATTATCGAAATGATAGTTGTTAAGGTGAAACTAATATCTTGCTTGATTTGTTTTTATGTGTATTTAGATTCTATTACTTGGTGTATGATTCCGTTTTGTATTATGTAAACTTAAAAACTATTTTAAACGTTATAATACTTTAGATAACTTATGAATACGGTATCAAAGAAAACCATCATAAAATATAACAAACAAATTGTCCTGTTTGGTTTACTTGAAAAAAATGAAATAGGTCATTTATTGTTATTAACAAATAAAAAACTAAAAAATATATATATTTTGTAAAGAAAAAATAAAAATATTAGTATTATATAAAAAGTTAGTTAAATAAAATTAAATTATATATAGACATATTTTACTTTGTTCAAAATATATATTTAAGAGTTTTCAAATATTAAAAAAAAAAAACTTATCTATTATCTATAAAGTTAATAAACATAAAGGAACTAAATACCATACAATTATGAATAAAAATATTACATATCATTTCATTCCAAAAAAATAATGAAAAACAAGAACATTTACAATATAATTTAAAAAAAAAAAAAAATCACGTTTTCTTAGTTCCTTCGTGGCGCTTAAGCATAATTTTTTCCCAATTTCGGGGTAATATTCCATTTTATTTATTCTTTGATTACTCCATACCAAATTGCTACCTAATATGAGAATGAAATTTACAAAATGATTTTTCTTTAAAAAAAACTAACTGTTAAAAAAAAAGTAGTTAAATTTAAAATGAAGCCGTTTATGTTAAATCTTGATATTTATATACAACCTAATTATGAAAAAATGAATACGAATTTTCATATAAAAAGTTAATGCTTATTGATAAATGTACATAATATATATCATGTGTACTGAGATGGTAACATGTGTGGTATGTAAGAAGGAAGTAGTTACTCGCACGTAAGATGAAAAGTTTCACACCAGACAACCCAATTCCAAATTCATAAGCATGTTAACTCCATTTCAAGTAAATCATTTCTACAATCCTCTTTCTTGCAACCTTTACTTTTCACTGTCGTGTAACAGTAACATTCTTGAAAGAAGAAATAATAATTACCTTGTATAATTATTGTAGATTGATTTTCCAAAAAAGAGAATTGTGTATATTTGTCGTCGATTTTAAAGTAAGGATATTGATCATATAAATAGTTTATAATAGTTTAACACAATTAAACTTACAAAAACGTATTAACATAATTAAATAAAAAGTATAAAATTTTGAGAAGGGTATTAAATCAAATGGCCAAAAGGAAATGTGTAATAAAATCATTTGACTACTCTTTTTAGAAAGCAAGGCAAATTATCTTGTTACGTGAAGACATTTCGTAATTTGCAAAATGGTAGATGATCAATGAAGCTTATTATATAACTTTACTTATTTGCTGTTTTTGGCAAGTATTACTCGTAAATATCTTCTACCAAACTCTTTTCAAAATCATGAATTATTGTTTATTTTTATATATTTTTTTCAACATAAGAAAAAAGACATCACAACATACGTAAATATTTAACTTTTCTCTCAAATTATCTTTAAATTGTTTTGGATTATGATAATATAAGCATTTGAGAATATTATAGTAATTTCACGAAATGTTATCAAATGTGTTTTTACAAGTTATTCTTTGAATTATTTTAGATATTATGTCATTGTGTCAACTCTATTTGTATAATTATACTGATATTTAACAGTATTTCTACATAAAAGGGCTGGTTAACATAGTTGGTATTAGTCGAATACTTTATAAAAGTTTAACATAACCAATAATATTGTTATTTGATCCTATATATTGCCTTATAAATTTATCACAACATATATGATGACATGTATTCGATTGTTGATGGAAAGGTAGACAAAAGGTCAAAGGTGGACGATCATGTTGGCATTTTTTTGCTTCTTGGCGTTCTCCTTCGCCCAATAAACCTCATGCCTGGTGGAGCGTTCAATGTGTGAGTAGATTTAGTTATTATTTATATAGTTAATTTTTATATAGTTATTATACATATCATTTATTGTTGAAAAAAAATACATTTTCCTATAAATATCCTGAAGTAGCATCGTTTATTAGGTAAGCTACAATCCGATACTATGATTAATAACATATACGACCATTTAAGGAGTCTTGATCCTTTTCGAGGCTGTGTAGGGAACAAAAGTTCCCCAACTTTGAAGAGAAAGTCGACATACTATCACAATTTAGTAGTAGACGAATGCGGGCATCCACCAGAAATTGGATATGCAACTTATTGAGGTTGATGGGATGTCTCAACATGAAAGTGATTTGGATATTGTAGGGTTTGTGTTTATAAGTTTTAGAACAATTTGTTTCGGGGCATCCTACATTTATACATGACACATGAAAGAAAACCGTTTTGATTAAGGCCGGAGGGAGTGGTGTCGCGCTCCCTCATGAAACCGCAGTCATACATAGGCGTCACCTCACCCATTACCACAAAAGTGTGGTTTCATACCACACCCAAGAAATGGTGTCATACTTTTTTTTTTTGTTAATTAAATAAAAACTATAATTTTAATAAAAATCATTTATTTCATTACTTCAAAATAAAAATAACATTACATTCCATTGCCCAAATAGAAATCCTATAAACTTAAAAAAAAAAAAAAAAAAAAAAAACCCCGCAAACCCAAAAAAAAAAAAAAAAACATACATTAAACGATTTAAGATAAACGCACTACATGAAGTCGTCATCCGAGAACTCGTCTCCATGTCCTCCGGATCCAAATTGAGGTCAATGTTTCGGGTCCTGTAAATGTGTTCCACCAAATCTATACGTAGATTGTGAAATGTTTCATTGCAAAGAATCTCTGCTCTCTTTTCGATGTACTCGTTGCCCCCAATTTCTATTCCTTGTATCGCGGGAATGGTTTCCTCTTCATCATACTCACATATCGTTCTTCCTTGATTTTCGATAATCATATTATGCAGTATTATACATACATACATACATGACTTCATGCATTTTTTCCTCGCTGAAAAAATTGCTGGTTTTTTCAATATAAACCAACGTTTCTTGAGAGCTCCAAAAGTCCGCTCGACATCCTTCCTAGCTCTTTCTTGAGCTTTCTTGAATTTTTTTTCCGACAAACATTATATGGTGTTCCACGCAATTGGAAAGAAGAATCTGGTGCGGATCCGTCGTATATGCCAAATCCACTGATCATGTGATGCCACGCTTCAAGTATAACTATTAGATGTCCATGATCACCTCGGGTAAATTGACCATGGTGTGAGGCAGGTAAATTTTTCCATGCCCAATGTAGACAATCTAAACTTCCTAACATTCTAGGAAAGCAATGTACGCTAGCATGATGAGATTGCAATTTCATGATGTCATTGCGTGTAAGCTTACGTATATATTTTGGACCATAAAACTGAATAATAGTTTTGCAAAAATAGTATAGACTATCTCGTACGGTCCTAGGTGACATCCTAAAACTCTCGTCTAACGCATCATGAGGGATGTCATATGCTAACTGACGAAGTGCAGTTGTATATTTTTGTAAAAGGGTGAAACCGGGTGTACCTCTGTCGTCGGGTTGTTGCTCGAAAAAACCACACTCCTTCGTTACATCTTCGACTATATGTTCGTATAATGATTTGAACATTTTGAACCGCCTTCTAAAGTAGTATCCTTGAAAAGTGACATTTTTCTTGAAAGTAGTTGTGTATCACACGTTGGTTTGCATCTTCACGATATCTAAAAATATATCTCCGTGTTCTCTATTAGCACTGGCAGATGCCCTACTGCATGCCGCTTCATATATTTGTTCCGCGGATGTAGTAGCAACGACAAATATAGTACATAACATCAAACTCTTCAAAAGTGTTGAGTATTATGTGTTGTGTCACGGGCTGGTATTTTGTATATCCGGTTTGGGCTTGTCCAACCGTGATTAGGGTTAATGTAGTGTTATAAATAGTGCACGCATGTATGCCTTTAATAAGCTAGAAGTTTAATTATCATTTTACATTGTAACCCTAAACACCTCTACAACCGAAGTTCTTTGTCGAGCTCTTCTGGAGTGTTAAAGTTTAATCATTCGACATCTTACAGATCGTTCTTGTGTTCTTGTTATTTCGTTTATTGTTTGTATGTTTGAATCTATCGATCTTTAAGGAATATTATTCCAACAAGAAGAATCGGACGAAGAAATTTTTTTGATCTTTTTGAAAGGTAATGTAGTAGATAAGTATAAAAAATGAGAATGATTGAATGGTTTAAATAGGTGTTAAAGTTTAAAAGAGAAAAAAAAAAAAAATCAGATTTTGGACTGTTTGCAACGGTCAATTGTGACCAACCAATCAAAATCATCCAAAGAGCGCACCCTCCAGAAGCCGCATTGCACCCTAAGGAGCACCCAGGGGGCAGTGTTCAATGCTTATGTGGCAGCGGGAGTGCAGTCCAGACCGCACCACTCCCTCCGGTCTGATTTATTCTAATAAATAAATGTTTTTTTTGCCACTTGTTATATTTTTATTCAATTTGTCAAATGTCATTTTATCGTTATTTTAATTTTTTTTTCACATGTCATTTTATAAGTTTTTCTATTTTTTTAAAATTTCATATAATATTTTAATTGCAATAAATATAATAATAAATTGATATAAATATCATTAATGAACTTACTATTTAATTTCAAAATTCTTAAAATTAAAGCTTATTAGTTTATTTATTTATTTATTTAAATTTAAATTATTTGTTTAAATTTAGAAGATAAAAAATATTTTCATTATAATAATTCATTATTTTTCATATTTTTTTATAAATTTAAAGTTCTCAAATATTAGACTTTTTATATTTATTTTATTTTTAAATTAATTCATAGACTAAATTGGTCACACAACTAATTTTTTTTATCATAGAATGACTTGTATTATCCGGGGTTGTCTATAACACGACTATAATATGTGAAACTAGTATTTTATTGATTTTTTTTTGTGTAATATGTGTGTTTCTATTTTAAGAAGCAAATGGAAATAAAATAATTGAATTGCACAAAAACAAACATTACAACTATATTTCATGAAAACTAGAAAATCTTTAAAACGATAAATAAAATACACAAAAACCTCAACAACTAG